GTCTGTAATCCCACGCCTTTGGGAGGCTGAGGTGAGGGGATTGCCTGAGCCCACGGGTTCGAGACCCGCCTGGGCAGGCGAGACCTCAACTCTACAATAAATCAAAAAATTAGCCGGGCATGGTAGTGCACGCCTGTAGTTCCAGCTACTTGGAAGGCTGAGGCGGAAGGATCGCCGGAGCCCAGCAGGTCGAGGCTGCGGTGGCCGGGAGCGACCACTGCACTACAGTCTGGGCGACAGAGTGAGACTCCAACTCAAAAAAAAAAAAAAAAAAGAATTAAATGTAAACAAAAAAAAGAAATTAACTATACAAGTATCAGAACAAAATATAGGTGAATTCCTCTATAATCTTAGTGTAGGGAATGCTTTCTATGGAAAACTAAAAATTCAGATGCAGTATGCCAGTGGTTCTCAAAATTGAGCATAACTCAGAACCACCTAGTGGCTTTGTCAAACATGCCTTCTGGGGCCTCAACCCAGAGGTGCTGATTCAGCAGGTCTGGGATAAGGCCCCAAAATTTGCATTTCTAACCAATTTCCAGGTGATGCTGATACTGCTGGTCAAAGCAGTGCCACACTTCAAACTACACAAAAATAAAGAACTTTTACATGGTAAAAGCAGTGTAAGCATAATCAAAAGACAAACTGAGAGACAGTACTTGCTACATATATAACAAAAGGCTAATATCTCTAATAGAGTAAAATATACGTAAAACAAACTGAGTAAAACCAAAAATCTTAGATAATAATGAGCCAAAGACAAGAACTCACAAAAAAGGATATGATTAAAATATCCAACCACACTCATAACAGAGATGCAAATTAAAACTTCACTAAGATACTATCCCTAATCTATCACATATACAAAAAATTAGAAAGCCTGATTACAGTTTCTATGGGAAACAGGTCCAATTTTCATACATTGCTGGTGGAAATGTAAAATAGTACAAACCCTGGAAAAGGGAATTTGGCAATATCTAGCAAAACTACACATGCATCTATGCTTCAAACCAGTAATCACACTTCTAGGAATTTCGTTGCAGTTTTATTTATAAAATATTGCAAACTACCTAAATGCCCACATACAGGAGTTTGGTTGAATAAACTATGGTACACAATGAAGTACTTCACAGCTGTTTTAAAAAGACTAATGATTCCGATGAATTTCATAATATAGCGATTTTTAGAATATGTTAAGTGAAAAAAAGCATATAGAGGTTGGGCATCTCTAACTCAAAAACTCCAAATCTGAAATGCTCCAAAATCCAAAACTTTTTGAGCACTGACATGGTGCCACAAGTAGAAAATTCCACATTTGCCATTAATATGTTTTCACTATATTAATGGTATACCATATTTTTACTGTTAAGTCTTAATGTGTGAATAAGTATAAGAAAATGACTGCTTAACAGCAACACATACAGAGTTAAGAATGATGATGATATAAAACCACAGACTGTCCAGATAGTGATACCTTTGCTTTCTCATGGTTCAATGTACACAAATGTTGTTTCAAGTACAAAATTATTTAAAATAGTGTATAATACTACCTATCAAAACAGATATCTTCGGTCTTTGTCCCTGGTTCCTGGCACAGAGCTACTAAAATCCTTGGAATTTCCTGAGTTATGAAACTGTCTTTTGTTATTCTTAAAGTGCCCTTTACACTATACTTGAGCTTATAGTGACAAGGTGAGTCATGTGGGTCCCCTATATAGTTCCAAAGGAGGGGCCTGGTCACCAGAAGGACTAAGCATGTGATAAAGTTGAAAGTTCCAAGACACACTCCCCACAACCACTGCCCTTCAGGAAGAAGATAGGTAGAGATTGAGTTAAGTAACTTGACCAATGATGATTTGGTCAGTCATGCCTCTGATGAAACCCCAAACAAAAACTCTGAAACAAAGAGGCTTGAGGGACCTTTGTGTATGGTGAACGTGTCGATGTTCTAGGAAAGTGATGCATCTGGAAAGGACACAGAAGCTGTATGTTACCCTCCACCCCATACATATCTTCCACTTGGTTGTTACTGAGTTGTATCCTTTACATAAAAACTATAATCATAAGTATTTGTGTTATGCTGTGTTTTGTGAGTCATTTTAGCAAATATCAAACAGAATTGAAGAGAACTGAAGAAGATTGAGAAGAGAAGAACAACTTCTGAGTTTGTAGTTGGCTGGGAGTAATTTAGGTAGCCTGGGGACTACTTGTAACTGGCACCTGAAGTGGGAGCAGTCTCGTGGGGTCTGTGCTAACTCACAGTAGTCAGTATCAAAATGAATTGAACTGTAGGTAACCACTTGGTGTCAGAAAATAGTTGCTGGAACATTATAAAAACATGCATAAATGAGGATAAAACAAGGTTATTTCTTATAGTAGAATGCCAAAAGACAATTGTGAAGGAAGTGTTGGAGCTGAAAAATCAGAATTTCTTAACTATCACAGTAACTCCAACTATCCTTGAGGTCTATCTTGAACTTAGAATGTCTCTTTTATAATGAATGATTTTGTAACATAATCATTGGTCATTTGAAAAACTGTTGGTTCACTGAGCTATGGAGATCTTCTAAAGGCCGGCATATTTCGCTATACAAGGTGCCAAAAAAATGTATACACATTTTAAGAGATGTTATCTATCTATGTATTATTTTTCAAAGTTGAATTGAATTACTGTAGTAATGTGTAGTATGATGTTTGCTCAACTGTGCTTCTGTCATTTTCTTTGACTGTCCTACCTGTAGCATGGTGATGCTAGCATTCATTTGACTACTGTCATCTTTTGAGCGAACGCTATAATTAAAATGTGTAATTTTTTTTTGGCAATCCCTGTATAATAATAATAAATTAAAAAATCCAACCACAAAGGTCCCCCAAGCCTCTTTGTTTCAGAGTTTTTGTTTGGGGTTTCATCAGAGGCAAGATTGATCAAATCATCATTGGTCAATGATGAATTTTTTTGATTTTTTTTTTTTTGGCAACCCCTGTATTAAAAAAAAAAAAAAATCAGTCTAAATATTACCACCCATCTCATTAGAAAAATCTGTAAATACTGAGAAGCATCAAGCTCACGGTGGAGGATACAAGTTTTCTAAAATTCTCATTTTTGCTTAAAAACTTAAATTTTAGGCAGGCACTGTGGTTCATGTCTATAATCCCAGTGCTTTGAGAGGCTGAGGTGGGAGAATTGCTTGAGGCCAGGAATTCAAGACCAGCCTGGGCAACACAACAAAACCTCGCCTCTAAAAAATAAAAAATAAAAAAAATTAGCCAGGCATGGTGGGGTACACCTGTAGTCCTAGCTACTTGGGTGGCTGAGGTAGAAGGATCATCTGAGCCCACGAGGTTGACGCTACAGTGAGTCATGATCATGCTACTGCACTCCAACCTCGGTGACAGAGGGAGACTCTGGCTCAAAAAAAAAAAGTTTAAATTTTATCTATGGCAACAAATATTATCAATAACAAGCTCACTTCATTTCATTTTGAAAAATACCTGCCAAATATCCAAATCTGAATAAACGAATTTTGTCTATTAGTTTTCTTTTAAGTAAAACTGGTATTCCAAAAAGTAGGAGAACAGTTCAGCTAACAACTCAACCACCCACACAAGTGCTTTATGCATTTTGATAACCATCATACTTATTAGAAGAGTTTGTGGGGTGTTTTCCATTTCATCACACAGAATATTAAAAAGACATGCACTCAAGGGTCAAACTTCAACAAAATCAGTA